TTTTATTACGAAGTATTTGCGTTCTCCAATACCTCAAACAAAATTTGTCTTTATTTGTTTACTTGCGACTAGCTTTCACATGATCCATGAACCTCTTCCAAACGGATTTCATCATTACCAAATGCTGATACTTCGGTACTTTGATTACTAATATGATAACACGAAGTGTTATGTGAATTTTGTACATTTATCCACTTATATTTTGCGCAATGAGCTGCAAGGTGTTTGGTGTGCACACATCTAACACATTGCGCAATAGTACAGTACCCGTCCGGAGATTACACAATAGTACAGTACTATACTATTGTGAATAGTAATACTATTGTGTACAGTACCCGTACTATTGTGAACTTTATTAGTGATAGCCACTGTACACAATGTGTACACAATAGTACACAATAGTACAGTGGCTGTCACTAATAAAGTTCACAATAGTACAGTGGCTGTCACTAATAAAGTTCTTCCATTTCGATTGATTGTGTACAAATCTAGGTCTCATAATGTTGATGAGAAATGATTTACCATCATAAATCTTGGTACATACGTGGTGTAGGGGCAATTCTTGTGAGATCTATTCATTATCACGTGTCAGACAGAGGAACCTGGCAATGCTGTAGCAGATTTTGTCATTTTCCGCCGAGATGGATCGTACGTTGTCTTTATTTATGGACGAAACGTGTGCTCCTGAACCTGCTCCATGATTCTCAAATAAAATCTAAAACAACCCATCAAGCTTAGTCTATTCACTTTATACCAACTACAACACACCACAGTGCCTTAAAGTGGTCGAATTCTGGAGGATTTGATGCTATCTCCGAGCGTTGCCAGTAGGTCACGAACAGAATCAAGAAAGTCAACAGCTTCGGAATTCAAGTGTCCACGATTAAAAGGCTTGTTTCCAGGGCCATAAAACCCATTGAGGAATTCCAAAGCTTTAACCTCGGCTTTGGAGAGACCCATCTTAATTGACCGGGGTCGATCACGTGGATCTTTAAGTGCAAACAAATGTGAAAGTTCTGCAACTTCACCTCTATGAGGTCCAGCTTCTTGCTGAGGCAACTTCTCTTTTACAGCCGTTGTATCTTCCGTAACTGACAAAAAACATTGCCCGCAACAATTAAAGTCAGACGTTACGGCTCGACAAAATGTTGTGTCGAGAAACTATACCTTTTAATTCGGCGGTGGTTCCACGTAGATGGCTATCGTGGTCCTGCAGGTACATTTGCCGAGTCTTCAATGTCAAGTATGGGTGGTGTAACCCGCGACTTATCAGAGTTAGTATAGGAAGAAAATGCATCATACTTTTGCACGAAGATGCTTAGAGTGACGATAGAAGCCAACATTGACAACCGCATATTCAGAGTGCTTTGTTGCGAAGAAGTCAAATTCAAAGTGAAGTGGGAAGCATCTGCCTTTTAAAGCATGAATGTCGAAAGGTATACGTTACATAGTTGGTGATCAGCTGTATACGGTACCCATCACACAGAATTTCTAGATTTTCCACTACAAAATCAAATTACATAGAAACAAGATCCAGTTTTGGCCCCAGTGATAATTTTCCCTGATCCCAAAGTGCCAAATTATCACCCCACAGTGTCAAATTCGCGCATCTTTGAGCGTTTATCTGGAGACAAAAATGGGTGCTGTCTTTTTCTGCCCACTCTCCTGCTTGTACCGACTATTCTCATAAATCAGACGCAACCAAAAGTAATTTCAAATAGAGCAAAAAGAGAAAAACAAGATCAGCCAATTTCTTGTAGTATATTCAAAACCTTACCCTGATTTGCATCTATTCGGTTCAAAAAGCTTTATGGTACACGATGACGCACTTTCTCCACTTTGTATACTTTTGGGCTAGGCGTTTTATTCTAGACTATTTTATAAACTACGACATGGTAAACTCATTTACCAAGCCACACATTTAAATGTCATGTGACAGTAACGAGTAAATCACTCTTTAAAACTATTATAATGGGTTTTAACTTTATTATTGACAGTTACTCTTTACAATAATACTGGTTTTTGTACTATTGTACACGGTTTTTTGTACTATTGTGTAAATTCTGGACGGGTTTTTGTACACAATAGTACACAACCCAAGCTCTGGACGGGTTTCTGTACTATTGTGTACAGAAACCCGTCCAGAGCTTGGGTTGTGTTTCGTGTGCACACACCTAACACCTTACAGCCATTGCGCAAAATATAAGTGGATAAATGTACAAAATTCACATCACTCTTTGTGTTATTATCAGTAATCAAAGTACCGAAGTATCAGCATTTGGTAATGATGAAATCCGTTTAGAAGAGGTTCATGGATCATGTGGAATGCTAGTCGCAAGTAAACAAATAAAGACAAATTTTGTTTGAGATATTGGAAAACGCAAATACTTCGTGATAAAGGGTTCCTGAAAACATGTACTGTGCGAAATGTCCACAAATTGCGTACACGCAAATCCAA